TTTTTTAGAGAAAGCTTGACCTTTATTGAACAAAGGCTGGCGGGGAAAACTATGAGAATTCTCATAACGCTGAAGCGGCAAAGAATTACGTAAAGCCCGCGAAGGAGCTGAAGAACGTTATGATTGTCGACTACTTATTTACTTTAAGATCCGTTCATGGCTTCAGTAAAGTAAAAAAAAATTCACATGCAATTCAAGCACATTTTTGGCCTAGCGTTTCTTTTTTTCCAGCGTTACTATGGGAACGTAATTGAACAACTTAAATATCAAAAATGTGTTGATGTGAACTTCTCAAATATCGATGACCTTTTAGTCCCGATATCGGTGAAAATTGAATTTATCATTGTGATACTTAAGACAAAACAAGTGTTTTCGCACTATAACGGGGCGCATCCATCCAACACATGAGTTATTGGAACTATTCGTACGGAGGGGAACACTCGTATACGCCAAGCTATACACTTACCCCATGTGGGCAGCGGATTTCGTTAACAAAGTTAACAGTTGTTAAAGAATGGGATTATCCGGCCTTCCAGGTCGCCATTCAACAGTCCAATATGTGTTAAGAAATGTTCTTTATTATTAAAATTTTTTTTAAAGTAAAGTTGATAAGATGAAATCAGTACTTGTACCCTTTATCATTTAATGTTTAATTTAAAACGATTGCTTAGTTACCGATCATATACGATTAGAAGTTTACGATAGGCATGACAGTGTGACCACTTTTGTACTTTGGCGGACACGATTGGTCGTAATCTCCGCATAGAATTTTTTGTGTTCTAATTTAAGCCAAAAAAGAAGATAATAAAATGCACGTCACGAACGGCTAAACACACGCCTAAGGTTAAACAATTCAACCGTCAAACAGAAAATATTTGCATTCTTATTATGTCCTAATCGGCCATCAGAAGTCAATATTTTTTATTATCATCTCTGTCGCGGAATGGATTAGGGCTATCGATAGTTAAGTTTGAATTTAGCGCCAGTATCAGTTTTAGTATCAGTCAGTATTATTTGTGTGAGGATTTCTAGGGTTATGTTATTCGGTCACACTAAATCGGGTGATGACGAGCTTAAAATTGGCGGCCCGGTTTACACCGATTTGCGCATTCAGAGAGAAAGGGAAGAGAAACTGCGATATAGTAAAACACTATCTCCAAAACACACTCTTGTTATCCTTGTTATCGCTAACCAAGCGGCGACTTCAACTAGTGTTCTGAAGGCATTTCCCCGTGATCGGCCGAGCGCCTTCATTTTCTTTTATTCGCACTCTGCGAGATGATGCCCACAAATCAAATGTCTCACCACAGCCATAGCAACTGGCAACCGGGCCAGCTCTGCGAGGGTGGCTGGTGATCGGCAGCGGCCACAGACTCCAAAGGAAAGTGGAACAGCCGCCAGGAAAGCGGTACGTAACCTGCAGCCCGATGCAACGAGGCGGATTACGGACTCCACGGCTGTAAAAGTGGAGGCCCTAATGGAAAGGATCGCACGTTTATCGTGTTTGAGAGCCGCGCCACGGCAGAGTTCGAGTGAGAACCTGAAAAGGCAGATAATGAGTGACAATCTGCAAGTAGAGCTCGGAGTGACGCCATCTTTGGATGAACAGTTTCTGGCACAATTGTGTGCAAATTTGCCGCCACAACTGAGTGGAAAATTGGCTCCGACGCTCGGCGGCCATTGGGCAAACGGACAACCTGTCACACGGACCTGTACAACAACAACAGTGAGCTATTCTCCACCATTTTGTGTTACCACCACTGCGTAGCCTGAAGTAGGTTATGTTCACCCGCCACGGGAGCCTTGGCCGATAAAGCCGTATCCGACTGTGGAACACCTGAGCGATATGCTTCATGCATTCGACAAATTGGTGTGCACTGTCATGAACGTCGGAATCAAGGAGCACCCGAAGCGAAGAGTTCTGCACGCGAATACTGTTCGCAAGGAGGCATGAAATCAACGACTGCAAGGAATTCAACCACGCTTCTACAACGACTCGGATCGAGTCCGCCAGGAAGTTGAGGTTACGTTTTTCATGTTTGGAGTATGGACATATGGCCCGGTCCTGCAAGAAGGGCCGCGGATGCAACGTCTACGGATGCCGAATGAGGCATCACTACATACTCCGTAAGCCAGCTGGACATCCCGGATGGCCGCCAGTCGCAGATGGAGGCCGTAGGACGGATCAGAGGAGCAGTCAAGACCGGCAGCTGTACAGAGACAGCAGCCGACGGATACGAATGCCACAGTCAGTGGATACTAGCAAGAAGAGCCTGCCTACGTCAGCCGCAGTTATAGACGCAGGACGCGAGGAGGACGAGAGGCGATCGACACGCGGCCGTCAGGAATTATTGCACCGAAACTTGACTTGTGTTGATTCGACTGGAGGTCACCTGCTATTTCGGACTCTTCTCGTGACGCTGTACGGAGAGAATTCGTAGGTCGACTCCTTCTCACTGCTGGATGCAGGATCGTATATCACGCTCACCGACGACGAACTCATCCGCAGCCTGAACCTGAAAGGTGCGAGGTGAGAAATGAATGTGCAGTGGTTTGGTGGAAAATCTGCCAAAGCGCGCGAGAATGGTTAGCCTGCAGATCAGTACAGCGAGCAAGCCAAAGCCCCATGAGCTGAAGAATGTGTACGGAGTGGCCAATTTGAACCTTCCGATGCAGAGTTTACGTCGAGAAGATGTGAAGGCAGGGGAGGCAAATACGCGCCAGCCTGTGAAGCCGGGCAACAACGCGACGCCAAGGATCCTAATTGGACTGGATCATGCGCATCTAGGAATACCCCTCAGAACCAGAGGACCATATGCAGCAGCCACCACACTTGGATGGGTGGTGTATGGACCGGTGAGTGGAAAGACGAGCTCACCGCTAGAGAAGATGGTCAGTGATTACTTCGAGATCGAGAATTTCGGAGCGAAGCCGACACAGTCAGTCGCAGCTGGCGGAGTGAAGCCGGCGCCGTTAGTCTCAGATAACGGAAACGCACGGGCCATGCCGCATTTCGGGGTGGAAAACCCGAACAAGCCTGGAAAAATTCGGCTTGTCTTCGACGCGGCTGCCAAGGTGAACGGCGTGTCACTGAATTCAGGCCCTACAAGCCCCTCCCAGCGGTGCTTTTCCCTTTTTCGAAAAGGAGCAGTTGGGTTTGTGCAGACATCAAGAAGATCTTTCATCAGATATTAATGCAGCCACAGGACAGATGAGCCCAGAGGGTCCTGTGGAAAAACGGAGACGATCATCGGCAGCCCGACATATACAATATGCAGGTGAAGACGTTCGGAGCGGCCTGGTCACCATGCTCAACGGATGATGTGGAGACCGTGAATCCATCGCAGTACAGCAGCACGGATCCGTGCGTCCTGGCGATCAACGAATACCACTACATGGATGACTACGTCGACAGTTTCTCCAGTGAAGAAGAAGCTATCGCCGTTTCAACACGGGTGAGAAAAATACATGCAGATGCTGTTCGGCTAGTGTGGTCAGAGCGTTAACCCCTCATGAATCACTAGCTTTAGATGGCCCCAAGCTGAGGAGGAGGTACTGGCAGCCGGGCTATACATCTGCATATCTTCGTGGATTCCAGCCAGTCGGCGTTCGCAGTTGTAGTGACGACTATATCAATCCCGCGATTGGAACTTCAAGCAGCAGACTGATGGACACCGTCAGGCAGGAGCACGGTGTGTGTAACGATTTGCAGAAGGGAGAGCCCGATATTCCGGATCTTCCCAAAGATGACGGACATGAGTCCGAGATATGCGCTACCAGCAAGAATGTTGTGGGATCGGTTCTGGAAGCGACGGGTACATGAGTACACTTGTGCGCAGGGAGGGAGGGTGCAAGCACATCGAGCCCATTCGCCGAGAAGATCTGGTGTTAATATGTGATCCGGCCATATCGCGAAAAGAGTGGAAACGAGGCGTCGTGGAAGAGGTGTTCAACGGAAGATAAGGAGTACCTCGTCGAGCGGCAATGCGGACTAACCATCGAGCCAAGACGACAATGCGTCCCGCTTCGAAGCTAGCTGTCCTGGACGAGGTGAATGTGGCTCCTTCACGAGGGTGGGATGTCGCGGAACGGATTAGGGCTATCGGTAGTTAAGCTTGTATTTAGCGCCGCTAGAAGTCAGTATTATTTGTGTGAAGATGTCTAGGGTTATGTTTTTGGGTCACACTAATGATGAGAAACTGCGGTGTAATAAAACACTATCTCGAACACACACTCTTGTTTTCCTTGTTATCGGTAACCAAGCGGCGACTTTAACTAGTGTTCTGAAGGCATTTCCCCGTAATCGGCCGAGGAGCGTCAGGGTCGAAAACGCTTCCTTCTACCTGTTACTTACTTTTCAATAAATCTAATATAACCTTTTACTCTACAAGTAACGCGAGTTGTAAAACTTCTTGCGTCTATTGTTATCAGAGTTATACTCCAACCGGACTTGTATTTTTCGAAAATCCGAGTTGTATATGAAACAAGATAATTATGTATTTGAATTGAGAGTGGTCCGATAATTACTTAGCCTCCAAAAGAAAAACTAAAATTTTAGAAAAGTGGCGATTTATTTCTCAACATAATCTCCTCTTGGCTCGATACACCAGACCCAGCGATGCTCCAATTTTTTTACCCGTCTGATAAAGACGCTTTCTCGAGGTCTGCAAAAAAAGGGGGCTGTGGCTTCGACGACCTCCTCATTCGACGCAAATTTCTGTCCAGCAGCTTTCTTATGCCCAAAATTCCATGCAGTATATGATCCACGCAGTCTTTTGAGATGCGTATGTTCAATCGGCGGTCTGCCAATACGAGATCAAGGGTTTTGTCACGTTATCCTCCGTGGTCCACCTGGGCCTAAATACCTATCGGACCACCCTTGTATAACCCACTAATTTTATGTAGAACTTTTAATTTGGAATAACCACTTCTTTTATTTAATTTATTAAACTTCCTCTATTATAAGGTATATTATTGCAGAGTTTTTTGTTTTATTTCAGACGAATGCCAAAATAATTATATTCCGGAATTAAAGTTATACGAACTGAGAGCCGAAAAATATAATGGAATGATTCGCCTTTTAAAACCAGGATGCCGAACAATACTTCTCATAACCGATTTTAAAAGTCGAAATAGACTTATTCCATACTTTCACAAGGCGATTTGGCCATATAGGAAATCTAAAACATTACTATTTGGGCACATGGTTATTGAAAGAGGATTGACCTGGTTTACGGAAATTCTGCGCTTATCATTGTGTACAAATCAAAAGTTGGAAGTTAATCCACGAAACTGTGTTGGAACTGTCCTAGCATTAAATGGTCACCGTAAATACTTTTGCATGTACCACGCTAAACATCCAGAATCTGTTCGGGGACCAAAGGTATGTTTTATTGTCAATTGAAATGTATAGCTTATTATTAAGTCCGATTTTAATATCTTAAACATTTTTTCCCTTACTATCGGTAAGTATATCGGTTTATATCTACTATTGTGAACGGAAATCGATTTGCTTTTTGGTTTTAAGTTAAGAAATAATAATAAGTTTAAATTAAGCAAAAACAATAAATCCGTACATATACTGGGTAACCCCTGATTTACCCTAGAGATAATCTAATCCTATGCGAAGGAACTACATACCAGGAAAAACATACACCTGGCAGTGCCAATCTCAGGACTCCATCGCACAAAGCATTTCACAATAGTGGCCACTCCTCCACATAAGTAAGCAGTATGATATCTCGAAAGTATAACTTAACACTAGCGCGACCGGTTGTTCAAGATTTAGGAGAGCATGTGAAGTCACGTCTCAAGCTCTTAGTTAAACGCATTTTTGATCTCCATGGTCAGCACCAAGCAGTACTCCTTGCTGCCACCCTTCCATCTGGTACCCTGGATTGCCCTTGAAGCAACATCTATCCCTTTTGCGATAGCGTCGATTGTCGACCTCGAAAGAGAAACGGCTTCCCGCAGCCATGTGCTAATGCAGCACTCCAGGTATATTGGCCTATAAGACGACGGATTTTCTGGTGGCTTTTTGGGCTTTGGCAGCAATTTCTGGTTGAAGACTCTTACGAAAGCTTCTGAATTCTTATTCATCGCAAGCTCGAGCCTGGGTATGAACTTTATTTCCTCTGGCATAATTTATCTCCAGGTGCCATTGTGACTGTTCCTTGCTCGCGTTAAAGGGGTATCCGCACTGTTTTGAAGGGGTGCTTCAATATCTACGTCATCCATATTGCAGTTGGATTCGAGGGGCTTCGCTTGTCTCAATTTTAATACCCATTGTTCGGAGATTAAAAGGGTATACTAGATTCGTTGAAAAGTATGTAACAGGTAGAATGAAGCGTTTCCGACCCCTAAAGTATATATATTCTTGATCAGTATCAATAGGAAAGTCGATTAAACTGCCGGCTGTCCGTCCGTCTGTCCGTATGAACGTTGGGACCTCAGTAACTTTAAGATATACAGAGTTGAGATGAATCAGACAGCTTTTTGAGGGCTCTATGCAGCGTAGGTTTTTTCACTCCCACTCTAACGCCCACAAATCACGAAAAACTAAAATCGCTGACACCACGGAATTATTAAAGCTAGAAAGTTAAAATGTATTTCTAATCTTGAGATGCCAGCGCATACGCCCACTCTTACGCCCACCAAGCTTGAAAGACAGTTTTCTTATTTTGTAGAAAATCTGATATCTCAGTAACTATAAGTGATAGAATTTTCGGATTAAGCATGTAGGTTTTCATGATGCCCAAATGCGAATTGTTTTTTTCTCATCGGAAAACCATAAATGCAAATATCTCGGGAACTATAAGAGCTACAAAGGTGTACATAAGAATACACGTTGCACAAGCTCTTTTTTTATTTTTTCCGACATTTCGAATTAGTTTCGGAAACGCAATCTTTCCGATGCACTTGCCTAACGACGACGAAAGCGAGAATAGAAGTAGCGGGCTTAACTGAACCGAAAAACGAAAGACCTCCGCTTAGCAACCGAAATTATGTAACGCTCGGCGTTGTGTAAAAGTTTTCGAAATGTACAGCAACCGATGCTGATTGTCGCTATGTTTTGCAGGTATAAGCGAATACCGTTCAAACGATGCGAATTGAGTTTATGGTCATCTAGCCAGGCCCACTCAACGCCCACAAAATCCGGAAAACCATAAATGCAAATATCTCGGGAACTATAAGAGCTACAAAGGTGTACATAAGAATACACGTTGCACAAGCTCTTTTTTTATTTTTTCCGACATTTCGAATTAGTTTTCGAAACGCAATCTTTCCGATGTACTTGCCTAACGACGACGAAAGCGAGAATAGAAGTAGCGGGCTTAACTGAACCGAAAAACGAAATCCTCCGCTTAGTAATCGAAATTATGTAACGCTCGGCGTTGTGTAAAAGTTTTCGAAATGTACAGCAACCGATGCTGATTGTCGCTATGTTTTGCAGGTATAAGCGAATACCGTTCAAACGATGCGAATTGAGTTTATGGCCCTTAACACCGAATTTAGTATGAGGCGTTTAGAGTTATTAAATCGTATTTAATAATTTATTAACTTTCACACGCGTTCACGAACACATCGGTAACACCATATGTTTTGCGGAGGTCATTAATTTATGCCACATGTTTATAAATATTTTACAATTTATAATTATACAAAAAAATGCGGTGCCGTGAACGGTGCAAAATAAAAGTCCGAGAGATTATTTCTACGATATATTTTGGCAGAGTTGCGCTTGCTTATGCCCTTCTAGCGGATAAAGACACCGCAGCTAAACCGAGCAGGCGACCATAATACACAAAAGTTCCCACCAATTTATTTGACAGAGGAAATTTCCAATGCACTTGTCAACAAGTTTGCGCAGTACGACGTCTACGACAAAGGTAAAAACAAAATGGTCTGTTTCGAAAAACCTTTATTTACAAAAACGTAATTATTACTCATAACAACTTAAAAGCAGAAAGGCTGGCAAGTTTTACTAAATGATGACTTAGCAGAGGCTCTAAGACAAAAGAAAGTTCCCGTCAAAAATATTTTTTTAAGAAGGACACAAAACAGCAACCACTTTTTAAGATCGAGCTTGAGGCAGAGTGTACAAAACTAGGCAAAAACGATGTGCATCCTATTTAGACAGCAGAGTCTAAAAACAGAACTTGATCAAGCCACGGAAAGCTACCAATGCAACATCGAAGCAATGACGGTCACACTCCAAAAGAGTATGATGGAAATCATGTCGTTTATGACAACCACCAAAATCTTATGCAAAACCAAAAAATCCTGATACAGATGCTAGTATTCCAACTAATCAATCGGACGGTTAAATAACAACGTTGAATGCTGACGGCGTTTCACGGCAAGAACTGGAAATAACTCATTCTTTCAGAATAATCATTTTGAAGTTATGCTGCTGGCAGAAACACATCTAATAACAAAGCAAAGATATCACCGGACAGCTCCAGATTTCCTCTGTGGCAAGCCCACCTTAATCTAAGTCCCCAAAGCGAAACAATCACCCCAATCAAAAATACCGAAGATTAAGCAAGAGTCTACGAACCGGTTTTCACCTCCACTGTGCAATTAATTTATCAATTGACAAAACTGACAAATATCGTTTCTATCTATCGTTTCTCTGACTGATCTACCACGTTTTTGGTTTTAATTATTATGAAATAATCTATGGGTAGACTGATTGCATGCTCAATGATTATTACATTCCGCCTAGTTCATTATTGATGACACATAGGATGTGGATTCGAGTATGTAGCTTCTTCTTCTTTCCACGACTCCCGTTGCTTGACGTGCAACCCACCTCCCGCCCAACCGACCGAGGGGCGCTGCCGTCTATCGTACGGCTCGGAACACGGGGATAGTATTGAGTGAAAAATGTTATAAACTACGAAATTAAGTGTGTGCTAAGTGGTTTACTAAAGCAATTTTTACGTTTGTAGGAGAAGTATTGGATGTAATGTGGTAGAGGGTATTGTAACTTGAACATAATACCCTAAATCGTTCATGAAGGGCAAAGTTCGAGCTGCAAAGTTGTGGCTGCAAGGATAAGGCAATATAATTTCTAGTGGGCCTAGCGGGCACATTGATGTTTAAGCGACCTATTAGAGCTTGGCTATTAATATCTCCGCTAATAAGATTGTTAATAAAAACAATGCCAAGCATTGTCTTACGGTTAGCAAGGGTCGGTAGGTTTATTAGTAATAGTCTACTTTTTTAAGTTACGAGATGTAGGTTTGTATCCCGATTTTGGCCACGAAGAGCAAATATGAGAAAGCCTTTTTAGATAGATTCTATACGGTCTTGGTGGACCGCGTACTGGGGGTTCCAGACGCAAGATCCATGCTCTAAGATCGGCTGAACGAGAGAGATAAATAAAGTTTTGGTTACGTAAGGGTCATTAAATTCTTTCGACCATCTTTTTATAAAACCTAGCACACCTCTGGCTTTGTTAACCATGGAAAATATGTGGTCGGAAACTGTAAGTTTGGCACCCAATAGGACACCTAAGACGTTTACTAGCTTAATTCTATCCAGGGTTACACCACGAAGTGTATAAGTGGTTATTAACGGCATAGAGCGACTGAAGGTCATTACTTTACACTTAGAGCTGTTGAGACTTAGTAAGGTTGCTGAGCACCAGAGTTGAAAGTTGTTTAGGTCAGATTGTAGTTTTCTCTGGTAGCACGCATCTTTATATTGAATACAACGTTTCATATCATCTGCATACATTGAAATAAAATAATTTGTTAAAGCAATTGGGAGGTCATTTATGAATAATGGGAAAAATAGCGGACCTTAAAGGCTTTCCTGGGGAACACCGGATCAAGCATAAACCGGATCAGACAAGACATCTTTAAATAAAACACGTTGCGTTCTACCAGTCAGATAACTTTCAACCCACCTAAGAAGATCAACTGGGAATCAAATTAATTCGAGTTTATGAACTAGAAGTAAGTGACTTACAGAGTCAAATACTTTATAAAGTCAGTGTAGATGACATCTGTCTGAAGACTTTTTCGGAACCCAGTAATGACGTAAGAGGTTAATTCGAGTAAGGTTGTTGTTGTCGTTTTATAACACCATGTTGATATGAAGATAATACTGACCTACACTGGTTTGGTTTTCTCAAAGTGTTTAGGAATTGCTGATAATTTAGAGATACCAGCATCTGAAGTTTTTCCTTTCTTGTGTAAAGGAATGATGAAAAATTCCTTTCAAATACGGGGAAACGTAGCCGTTTCAAACGAGAGATTAAACAGTTTGAGAAGAGGATTTGTTCAGAAAGAACACGTGAACACGTTTATACATAGATAAGATGCATAAGTTACGTACTAAATCAATGCAGCAATGTACTGCACTTGTCTGTCT